CAACTAGCATATCCAAGAAAATGACATATCTTGGATGTAGTATCTAATTTAGTCCTGTACTCCTTAGGTATAAGAGTATAAGCAGTACAACCAAAAATTCTCAAGCGACTATAATCTGCCATCCGTTTATGTCTCAGTTCAAACGGTGTTGAGAAATTGGTTGCACTAGAAGGAGAAAGGTTTACCAAATAAATTGCGGTGTTGACAGCTTCGGCCCAAAATTCCTCCGGCAAACCAGATTCGCTTAGCATACTCCGCACCTTCTCCAACACTGTTCGATTGAGTCGTTTAGAAATAACATTTTGTTGTAAAGTATAATCCGTCATGAAATGGCGAGTAATACTCTACTCTGTACAATACCTCTGAAAAATCTCACTAGTATACTCGCCATCATTATCTGATTGCAAATATTTCACCTTGTGTCCTATCTCAGTCTCAACTTGTATGCGCCAACTTTTGAAGGTTGAAAACACCTCAGACTTGTGGGTAAGAAAATAAACCCACACATACCTGGAGTAATCATCTATGAAGGAGACATAGTACAACTTTCCAGACAATGAGGCGACAGGAGAGGATCCCCACACGTCACTATGTATATACTCCAGTATCTACTTGGAACTATGAGTTCCAACGCCAAAAGTTTGCCTATGTTGCTTTACCATGATGCAATGTTCACAAAATGACAAGTCAACTTTACCCAAACCGGGTAAGACCTTTTTCACATTCAGAATAGACATATATCGATCACTCATATGGCCTAATATGGATAGCTATATATGAGACATCTCAATGCAAAATCTGGTAAAGTGAACTTCGACACAAATAGTGATGCCCTCTAACAAGTACAAATTATTATGCTTGTATCCCCAAAGAATAACCTTTTTATCACATGATCTAACATCCAACACGTCTTGCCTAGAACTTCATTCTAAGCTGTGTGAGTCTAACACTCCAAGAGAGATCAAGTTCTTTCTCATTTCAAGTTCTTTCTCATGGTTCAACGTACGGTTGACACCATCAAACATGTGGATTTTCATAGATCCAACACCTTCAATTCTATAAGGTTGGTCGTTCCCCATAAGAACTGAACCATTTGATACACAGAAAGTACAAAAGAACTCTCTAATGTAATAAATGTGATAAGAACAAACACTGTCCAAAATCCATACATCACCAACAACTTTTGATGAGGGCATAGCTCTAGCATCATAGGCCATCTGTGTACAAAACGTTCGCCTCAGTATCAAGATGTTATGCAATGTTTGCCACTTAACGGGAGGCTGTACTTGTCATTCGGCAAAACCTCATGATATGGCCTTTCTTACCACAGTTCCAACAAACAGCATTATTCTTGTCAAATGGTTGGGCCATAAATTGTACTTTACTTCTGTCTGGAGATTTTGATCTCTGCCGCTTCAATCCTGGACGCCGTGAATCGTTGGTATCTTTTGAGTGTGATTTACCTTGGGCCATAATAAGTGCTGTCCCAGAAGTGGAAGGGACGGAGGGGGATAACAAAATCTGCTTAACCGCATCCGTCAGAAATGCACTGACAACCTCGTTGTAAGTAACTGTTGTCTTCTGACGATAAAGAAGAATCTTTGATAGCGTCTGATTGGTCAACAACAATGAATGGAGAAGATGCATGAACTTCTTTGTGTAAGTGAGATACTTCTCCATATTCCGAAGATCCACCAATAGATGTGGTGTAATATGCGTGTGCCGGACTTCATAGTAAATCGTAACAATCGCATGTATGTGTTCATCACAATCGTCGGATTTATCTGATGAAACCGTTGTTGAAGCGCATTAAACAACTTGAAAACTTCAGAGTACTCCTCAACCTGCTTGAGTATGGTAGGGTTTAGGTATGCCAACACCGTGCAAACCGCATGATACTAAGTAGCACTCCATTCAATGTCATTTATGCTAGAAGGTTTTTCTCCCAGGCATATGATGAGATCCATGGATTGTAATTTTACTTTTACTTGCATTTCCCAAAGCAAATAATCACCGTGCCCATCAAAAGGTAAGATTTTGTATCTAAAATTTCCACCGACTTGTCGGCTTACCGACTCTGCACGTCGAAAATGAGAGACAAGTGCAACTTTTGAGTCAATTTACTCCTTTTGAGTCATTGTTCAGTTCTTGAGAAGTGGCTTTATTCGTGGCGAGAGCTTTCCAACGATACCCAATTTGACTAGTTTGTGATGAAAAAATATTTCAAAGGAATATTGATGGCAGAATATTCCTTCACCATTATTGCCGACCGTCACCGCTGGAATTTCCGTCCCCGTCACCGTCGGTCGACCGTCGATTGCGGTACCGTGCCGACCACATTTGTCCTCCAACCACGACTGCAACCACGTTCAGTCCGACCATGTGGACTATAACCACGGTTGATCCAACCACGTCAATCGTACCCACAGTCAATTCAACCACTATATCCCTACTGTCAGCACAATAGATGCACGAGTATATTTACCACATATCCCTACTGTCAATCAATTCAACCACGTTGTCCCAACCGCGTTGCTGCTCCAACGTTGTGCTCTCAACCGCGTGCTGCTCTAAAATTTGACTAGGGTGGCTGCGCAATCCTAACCTGTGGAAGGGGTCCCCTAAATATGAAGCGGTAGATTCCTAAAAAAAGGAAAAAATCCTAAATCTGTCGTTGACCGCGACAGAGGTCTGCTACACTACCCTCCTCTCTGCCCTACGTCTGCCGCTCCTCTCCCCTCCGCGTGCAAGGGGTTGGAAGGGGCTCGTCTCCTTCGTACCCTCCCTTCCCTAACCCCCGCTTCGTACAATACCTCCGCTCCTCTCCTTTCCTTGAGGGGGGGGGGGGGATGATAGCAGATAGCTCTTGCAAACAAAAGGCCGCTCCGCTCTCCGCTTTTCTCCTGCGAGGGGGGTTGCCGCTCCGCTACTCTTCTGCTTGGAGGTGGGTGCAGAAATACAATCTTGCAAAAATACACTGCATGGGCCAGTCCGAAAATACTCCTCTCCTTTTTTCTTCCGCGGAGTGAGGTAGGTTACACCGACCGCTCCGAAAATGCAGAAATACACTCCTGCAAAAATACATTGCGGCTCCGCTCTGCTATTGTCCTGCGCATGGGGGTAGGGGGCAAAAAGTACACTCTTGCTCTAACTGGTCGGACAAGGGAGAACTCCTCGCTCGCGGCCGCTCCATTGTTACACTCACTGCTTTCGTTGGGAGCTCTCTCCTTTTAATCTTTACATCTCTCCTTTTGCACGAGCTCGAACACTCTTTGATCGTCACAAACTCCGTCAGCAACAAAGAATCCATCATCGACAAGAAAAAAAAGGCTTTGTCTGCAGTGAAAACCAAGCACTTTTGTAGAAAACCGTCAAATATTGTCACATAAAAAACGTCACGTGTTAAAAAACCATCACAAAACACACTCTAACACAGACTCCGAACTGGAAACTGCTCTAATACCAATTGTAACGCTAAATCTCAGACTGAGCAAACCAACAACACGATGAACATAGAAGACACGAGTATAATGTGGTTCAACCTTAGGGGCTACGTCCACGGAGGAATACGTTCGAGAAAGTTTACTGCTTGAAGTGTGAAACTTCCTATCACCCTTAGAGTATATATACCCAAGCTAGTCAACCACTCTAAGCTATAAATAACTACATATGCGGTTAATCTCACTTAACTCCTTAACCAGAGTTAACCTCAACATCTAATTCATTATTAGTATGATTTAACTCATGACTTGATTATTTTTTAAAATATTTTGATTATGCTTAATCAAACTAGTAAATAATTTTTATAGAGAAGAGCTAGCAAAAGCTTTTTATGACACAAATTAGTGCTTGAAATAAAAATATTATCTATGCAGGTAGCCTTGTTGAGATGAACCAAGTAGTTATTGTGTCAAATTAATTCATAATGCTTGTCATTACGAATATCAATCTAGACCAAGCCTCATAAAATTACGCGTTCTAAAAATAGATGCCTAATTTAAAATGAACCAAACGCCTAAAATAAGTAAAATCATAAGTGACGCGTATTGAGCTTGTAAAATTTTTGTAAGACTTTTTACAAGACACCAGTTCGTTAGTTAACATTTATTGCAGTGGTAGTAGAAGCATGAGAAAACACCTACTTCTCACATATTAAGCGTTCATCTTAATGCATCTTGTGAAATTGTATTATGAAATTGGTTTCGAATGACACCATTTCATTTTCTGCATTCATCTTAGCGACTCTTTATTATCGTTAGCACTTCTTCAACTTTATTTATTCAGCATTCTAACATTGTCTCGCGAGAATAAGTTTTCCCGTTCATTAGAAGAATATTGAAAAGAAAATTGCATTCTCAAATACAGTTAAAAAAAGAAAAGAATTATACCTTTTAAATTTGTTAAATTAGGCGTTACCGCACAGGAAACTCCTAATTTAGATTATTTTGTTTAAACTAGGCTTTCGCCTAATTTTATGAGGCCTGATCTAGACCAATAATAAATCTTGAAATTTTAGACAACAAATTTCTTCAATAAATCACATAGATAATTAGGAGAGTACCATAATTCAACATGGACTTGATGGGAATGATGAATGCTAGACCTAGTTGAGAGAATGAACTAAGTTGGTCATCAGTAGTCATGTTATAGCCCTCATCAAATGATTCTGTAAGAGACATCATTTATATAGCATAACTTTTGTTGAACAGCTCACCGTCTGCCACTTACCTCCCTTCCCCGGTAATCGAAAACAACATATTAAGGCAGAAGTATTCACGTTTTGCATTGAAACGTTGAGTACCAGGTAGCTCAAAGATGGAGTACCGGCTAATCTTGCCAGCTGCTGGTTGGGAAGGAGTGGCCGCGGTAATAAGTTTGTCGAGCTGAGTTCATAAATGGACGATATATGATACATTTCCAACCATAAAAATACAAATAAACATAGTGTGTGAAGGAAATCAGAAGGTGGTGAAGCTCACAGAGAGCTTCTTTAGTTTTCAATTCTTTCAAAGAACAGATGAACTGTGGCTAATTAAGCCCTATCTTGTCATGTCAGACAGACTTGGTACAGGAAGTGAATTTTCACTTGCGGTCACTCAACACACTATATCACCTTACATAAAATTCCTTTTAACCGTTGCAGTTGCTGAAACATCATTGCAGTAGGCAGAAACCTAGATCTTAACGAATAAATTGCAGCACTGTGCCCGCGAAGTTACTGCTCGTAATCAGATTAAAACCTCCACCACTGTTGTTGAAATTGTTTATCATCTACAACATGCTCGATTTGAGCATGTTGGGTTCTTATTTTATGACGTTGCCTGTTCGAAAACATGGGTTCAAGGCAACGTCACAAGAAAAAATAATCTACAAAATGGGGGTCGTGTTCAAGTACCGTAAGCCGAAAGTGGCTATTATTCGCATTTAATTGGTTCAAAGTCATGGAACATGTGCCACCTCGGGCTAGAATAGAGGTGGGCCAACTCCGACTGGCATCCGGACGGAATGACCTCCGTCCGACCACGTTATGGAGCCAAACACGTAAGCGCTGTCATCGTCCATGTCGATCGTTAAGCTCACCTCAAAGGTTCCGGTTTTGGTGGCGGAGTCGAAAGACAAAACGGACGGCGTCACAGTAATGGTGACACCCACGGGCTGCACTACCGACACGGTGTAAGTGGACAGCACCGGTCCTACATTCGTCACCGTCCTAGTCAGCGTCTGCGTTCCGGTCCTGTTGGTGCTGACGAAGATCGAAGGGTAGTTCAGGTCCAGCACGGACGGAGGCTCCTCGGGGCACACGCTGTCGTCTCCTGTCACCAGCCGAAGCTGCTTCGTCGTGTAGCCGATCGAACAGAGGAAGCTCGCGTAGTCTGCCGTCGTGGCATCGTACACCAGGCCCGGGTCTGCGAAGGCCTTGGGGTTGATCTGACCCGATCCCACCGATAAGCCTAGATCTTCATCGTTGATGGACGGGTCCAAGGGCGTCGCTGCGTCAAACATACAACATCTGTGATCAGAAATCATTTACTGCTACTCGTTCACACCAGAATTACGCATGCACGGGATCTAAATGTTTCTGTATTTTGGCGACTCGAACGTTTGGAATTCTCGTGGCGGACGAAGGGTCGTCGGAGGGATCCTTGATAGTCCATTCTAGCGTATGATCTTCAGCAGCCACATCTGTCGTACCTGTGGTCATGAGAGCGGATTTGATCGCAGCCGGACTCCAGTCAGGGTGCAACGTTTTCAGCAGTGCTGCGGAACCCGTGATATGGGGACAAGACATGGAAGTTCCGGAGATGATGTTGTATCCCACTGTCCGGTCGTCGTTGTAGTTCCCAGTCAAGCTGGCTACTGGGGACCATGCGGCCAGAATGTCCACCCCGGGACCTGTGATGTCCGGCTGCTCGAGTTACACAACACAAGGGGTGAGTGCTTTTTGGCGCGTGGTGAAATATTGACGACCGAGCAATTGTCAAACGTTGTGATCAGAGAGTTTACACTAAAGGCTCAGAGAGGTCGACGGCTGCGAACCTTTAGAATGTCGGGAGTGATTGTGTTGGGACCACGGGAAGAGAAAATGGCCGTCACAGGAACAGGAGCTTCGTTGAATACAGTAGCTGTTTTCTCTATTCGAGCAGTCGGTGATCTGCAAAGATAAGAGCTTCTGGATCAGATGCTGCTGATATCGTAAGTCAAGCTTGTGATCCGGGCCGAGGTCCGACGTGCTGTTACCAGTACGCGTACGTGACACAAAAGTGAACTTATATTAGTAATCTTCACTAGTTTAATGATGGCAAGGAAAGTGAATTTGAGGGCAGAGAATTGTTACTTAGTCTTATTAATGTAGTTCAAGATCATGTCTCCTGATGCTTGATCGACAGAGGAGGCTGGAATCGAATACGTAAAGGCAATCTGTTTGTAAAACTCGTCGATGACGATAAGGCCCACACCTCCAGCCTCGTAGATGTACAGGTCACTTGCACCACCTCCAACTTGGCACACCACGATCTTTCCTTTCACCGAGGCCTTGTCCAGGCTTTCAGATTCGCAATAGCTGTCCAGACAACTCATCACGGGTCAGCATTGTCGAAAGAGGGAGACAAAACTGACTGGACGACTTCACAGCTAAGTTGAAAAGCTTCCCTTCTTTCAAAATCTCCGTACCTGGATTCTTCAGATGTATAGTCTTTTGCGGGTATATTGCCACCATACACGATGGGATACAGTTTCTTGGAATTCATCGTGTAAGTGTTGATCGTTGCTCCCTGCTCATCATACGTTCAGAATCACTCCATAATAAAAGCCTCGCGAAGTTCGTGGACTTGACCGACGTTCTGTCCAAGCGGTTGTACTTTCTAGGTTCGAGTTTTGTGCAAAGGTTTTAAAAGCAGAATGGCCACGTCCTTCCAACAGGGGAATCATAAGGCGAATTGGATGGAAAGTGAGGAGCAATGCCGAGTGAAAAACATGCAAAAAGGTAAAGACATTGGAGAGCAAGAAGTGGAGGAAGTAAAAGGTCCCAATATTTCCAATATTACATCAGTCGCACGTGCGATACCTGAAATCAGAATCCAGAAAGAGACGTACCTTAAATGTTTTTCCATCACCGAGGATAACTTTTGCCAGAAATTGGCGATTTATGGTGCTTGCGGCCACGGTTAGCAACCATGGCGCGAGGTTACTCACGGTACCTCTGTAAGGTCCACTGTTACCTCCAGAAGTTGAAACCAGAATTCCTTGAGCAGCAGCGTGGAATCCCCCAATTGCGATAGTATCCTCCTTGTAGTCAACGGGATATCCACCCAAAGACAGTGATAAGACGTTCACTCCATCTTTGATTGCATCGTCAAAGGCAGCTAAAATATCTGCGCTGTTGCAATCATTCGCCCAGCAGACTTTGTACACTGCTAATCTTGCCGATGGAGCTCCACCTGTGGCTGTTCCCTGTGCTAATCCTAGTAAGCTCGTATTGGCGACCCGTCTACCGACTGCGGTTGAAGATGTATGTGTGCCATGTCCTTCAGAATCCCTCGGAGATCTGTAGACTCCCTCTCCAGATACAGGGCCATATACTGACTCGTAACCTTTGACATAGAATTTAGCTCCGATTAACTTCCTGTTGTGGCACGTCCATTCAATGATTTTTTTATGATATTCAGACACATTTGTAAGCAGATTCTCCCAGCTCGGTTCGAATTCTTCTCATGTGATTTTTTCTCTAAGTTGGTTTAGTCTGGAATTCGGAATCCTAAAATTGAGGCGGTTCAGATTTTTGAACTGCAGATAAGTGAATTAATTCCTATTCAAGTTTTAGATTCAAATCACAATATTACAATTGAGATGCAGTCACGAAGTCATCAATACATGCAAGCGCATGTTCTGTACCTCTTGTGTATCTTCGTTTGAGATTCCTACCTGTTGCAATTTTCTGGTCCGAAATCTGGTGTGGTGACACATTCTCCTTTCCAAGTATCCGGAACAGGGGACATTCCATCGTCGTTGAAGCTTTCCGATTCAGGCCAGATTCCTGCTAACAAGAAGAAAATTTCGCAGTCATTGTTGAGGGTCTACTAGTACCGAGTACATGGTGTTGATTTGTGCAAGTTATATCTGCACAGGCTGTGAGAGTTTAGATTACAGAACATGTTCCAGACCTTAAGTCACACTTGCTTAGTTGCAGCAACTCAGACGCTCCTGGTGGATTAGAGTACGTGCTGAGAATTACCTGTATCGAGCATCCCAACAATGCTGTTTTCTCCAAAGTTTGCTGCTGGCCAGATGCCAGCAAATGTCATAAACCCCAGATATAGCCAAGATGCTGTAGTCTGGACTTTGTAAGACTGCGAAAGGAACACAGATACTACACCAGGTTGACCTGTGAAGGAGTACCAGTACGGATTAGATTTCAAGTATATCAAGAAATTGAGCAGCATGAGATCTGTTTGGTATTCCATTTCATGGTTTTGTATTTACTGGCAATGAGTATTAGATCTTTGGTATGTCACTGATTTCATCTTGTCACTTTAACTAGTTATGAAACTCATCGTTCATTCGGTCTGGCCATTCTGAACGCGCAGACATTTTCCAGGGACTGTACTTACTTCGCATTTTTTCTGCCTGTTTAGGTGTTAGCATGGCTGCGAATCCACTGATGCCATTCACGTAGTTATAGACGAGGCATCGTTGAGCCGCCCTCGAACTGAGCATAAAAACGTGTTTGATATTAGTCAAATTCCTTCGCATATTCATATGTATGTCAATATCATATATATTTTTTGCATGCGAAGGCCATCGCCAAGCTGGGATGCATCACAAGAAGACATGGTTATCCTTGTATGTACAACTAGTCTCAAGAAGCCGATGGTAGCTTTCAAAGCTTTTGATCTCACAGTACCTGCCAATCACTTTGGAGAGAACTCTGCCCTGGAGAAGCATTTGAGTCTTTTGAACTCTGCTTCTGGCCTGGCCCATGTAGATGATGTACAGCTGCAGCCATATCGAACGATGCATGTTGTATCAAAAACTCAAAGTCCATCGACATATGAATAACATAAGACAATCACAAACGTCGTGGCAAGTAAAAAAGACTTCAGTTTCGCTTGAAGTAGCACAAAAATCACGTGTACCGCATGCAAACTTCTCCGCCATGTTTTTGGATTTTACTGTCAACCAACCCCAGTCTAACGAGTTGAGATGGAAATTAAATTCAAAGCTGCGCAAATTGAGTCTAGTTATGGGTCCATAATTAAGCAAGCACGATGGCATGGATAAATCTGCCACCATGAAGATGCCGTCTCCACAGGCCTAATAAAACATCTGCAGCAATATTGCCTTTACTTGCACGTTGTGATCAACCTCCGTGGATGGCTAGCAAGCGTCAAACACAAAGATTTATAGGCAACACAATATACAGAGCGACGAATTCGTTGAACATCAGGGACCTGGAAGACTTAACTTTCAACCTTACCCTGACATTGGAGTCCCCTGTTTGTGCCGTTTCATTTTTGGGAATTCTAAGGAGTTCCCCGTGCCCGCCGCTGAACTGGAGGAGAGTAAGAAACAACAGAATATACGGGGTTCCCATTTATGGCACTTGAAACAACGAATCTGAAAGATCGACAGTTGTCCGAGGTAGACTCGAGCTGGTAGCGGACGAGTTGAGCTTCAGACGACCATGATCGGCATGTCGTAGTCCGAATCTAAGTGTTCAAATCTGCAGCTGCTCCATCAGAGCTGGACGTAAGAGAAGTTCAAGATGCAGTGTGAATTAGACTTGTCAGACGGCTTATAAGCTCGGAGGTTTCGTAGCCCATTTCACGACTTAGTGTGCAACGATAGTCTGGACTGATGATTCTGAGCACCTTAGAGACTTTTTCCCCCAGTTCATGCAAGTCAGAAGCACGAGCAGAAATCATCACGCACGTACCGCAGAACTTGATCGTCGATCTCGAATTCGAAATGCGGATTTTGGACCGAACCAGCACCGAGTAGATTCTCGTCAAAGCCTACTTGCACGTAGATTAGTGATAGCTATGACAAGAATCATTTGAGCTGAGATGTGGACGCTGAAGAACTACAGGGTCTCCGTTGTCCTTGTTGTATCCAAGCTCAAACCAGGAGCTCAGGCCTACGGACAAATGTAGTATCAGAATCTGCATCGCTCTGACCTTGTGCAGTCGCACAAACACCCACAAGAATGTCCAAAACCAAGAAGCAGCAGTTAAAGACACTGCCGGATGGCGACGACGGCTCGAGATTTTATGATTTGCTCCGCTTCTCAAAACGATGTTGAATTTGGGAGTACGGGATCTGCACGATACCCGTCGCCCGACTGCCGGCTGTTCTAAGGCATCCGAGAGTGAGTCTAAACTAGCTGCAGCTGGTTTCCTTTGAATGTTCTAAAAACCTCAGTATTATTCCAGTACGTGGACGAGATCGGACGATCTCTGAAGACCACCCACAAGCCAGCTTCCATCGAAATATTTCGACCCCTCTTGTGGGCTGTAATCGGCTGTCTGCGGTCCCCTCAGCTTTTGGTGGCTTGCATGGACGTGAAATATTTGTGAAGTTTCACATGTGCACGACACGATTTGAGCAGCTAAAGGAAAGGCGTTTTTCATATGAGACTGGACGCTATTTTATATACTCCTGAGTAAAAGGACGTCCGGTGACAAAAGGAAGCAAGTATTTCGAGCATCGTGCATTTGTCGAGTCAATCTTGCAAGTCACTCAATCATTTAACCTGTCGAAAAGAACAAAGCAGATGGCCCTCAGATCCAGAATGCCATGGCTCGTGTAGACTTCACAACCTGAATTATATTGCGGAAGTTATTTGGCCGCCTTGATACGAAGGCGTTTACAGTACATCATCGTACTTCGCATTCAATGATGGCTAATTTAATCTAATTCTGCTCTCACAGATCTTTGGCTAGCTGACCACGTTCGAATTGGCAACTTTTACTGTTGTCACCCCATTGGCGATCAACACGATCGAAGATGCCGCCACTTATTTCCTCTTCTAGATCCAGCAACGTTCAGTGAATACTCGACGTTCCATCTTTTTGAACGAGTAAGTAGTTTGACTCTCGAAAGGTCGGGGGCACAGTTAAAGAACTCTGAAAGTTTAATCTTAATCTGTCGAGTATCAGACATTTTATGTATGATTTTTCGCAGTGTGAAAGTTAAGAAATTGATTTAAATAAGAAATGATTATGGGAAGCATTTCATCACTTTTCAGATTATTTACAGATTATTAATAAAAAGGAAACTGAACAGCTCGGTATTCGAGAACCATGCCTGTAACGCTAGTAGGGATATGGAGCTCGAGACCAACTTCCTGTGTTCTTTTCTGAGGATTGATGTTCTCCAGACGCAGTTCGAAATTGACGAAGATCTATAAATCCGACTGAGGAGAACGCGACCATTTCTGTCGCAGTTTATTATAATGTGCGTATATATGAGTAAAGTGTAGAGAAAAGCCAGGAGAAAGCCCACCGGCTCAGCGTTTCCCAATAGGAAATGACCAATCAAGTAAATCGTAACCTAGATCTTCATAACGGAAGAAATTCGTGATAAAAGGATGCTGTAGTCTGGCACAGTGGAAAAGGATCGACATCTTCGAAAAAGCCGTGGATTCAGCAATACGTTTGGTGCTCGGTTCACTATTGTTATACTTCATGAATGCTGGAACTCCTCCGCATTTTCAAATGAGATATTTGATCTTATCTAAGGCCCGCCATCAGGGTCCAGTGCGTTGGGATGTACAGGAGTATAAAGCAATCTGTCTTCTCAGGACGACGACATGGTATATCTTGTTGGAACGTACTTTTTTCATCCGCTGAGGTACGAATCTCCATCATCGTGCGTGTAACTGTGAGGTGTTGTTGACCTTGACTTGTATAATATACAGAGTCAACTTTAAGCTGTCATTTCCTGAAGTATGGAGGTAAAGTTTGATCTGGATTTTGTAGTCTTCATGGTGGAAGCTGGAATACGAGAGTGAGGGGCAGACATATTAGGTGCGTGGACTCTAAACTTGCACAAACGTGATAGCAAGTCTCATAAACCTTCTAGTGCTGTCTTTCTGGCACGATCTGTACGAGTACTTGCTAAATTAAATCAAGTTTTTCCTTATTGACAGTTCATAATAAGGAGATAGCAATATGTCTATTTCAAAGCCCTTTTTACGTCCATGTGCTGCTGACGGTTTCCAACAAGTATATGAACCTGCTGACAGAACCAGATCAGTTCAATTTTGCCCACTGTTCGAGTATCGCCATAATAGACAGTCGTGGCAAAACACACCCATAATCACAACATGCACCAGGCCTCGAATTTTGTAACACGGACGAGCACTATCTTGTTCATATGGTTCAGAGTGAAGACTTCGACTCGGTCTACACTGTAGTATTCCCTTTTACTCTCAGCAGCAGTCATCCACTTCCAATTGTCGCATACGTGTGTTAGATGTAGATCGATCAGGCTTCTTTGCCAGTGCTGCGATTGTAACCATGCATGCCATGCCCAGAAGCTGCATATTCTGTAGCTTGTTTACGTGTTCTTTTGGTTACCTGATGCAAAGTGAATTCTCCAGCTCTACTAACTTTTTACTCTGGATTCAACTAAAGGTGTAGCTTATTTTGACCATAGCTTTTCGTGTTTCTGAGACCAATAATCTGTTCATCTATCTAAATCCTAAGGTCTTCAGAGGAGAAGGCTCAAGAATTAAAGGTGATGATGTGAATTCCAGAAATGTAACATCTCTGTTCCTGTATCAAAGATGTCGTCAAAGGTTATTCTCCATCTCCTACGCCATCCGCATATATACATACATAGATCCATATGTATTTCCAGTTCCTGATTTTTCCTGCATAGTTTTGACGTGTATATCAAACTATTCTGCACAATTGACTGTGAAATAAGTCACTATCTTCTTTCAATGTTTGAGTTTCTAGGATAGTGCATGAGATAAGAAATGTTTGAGTTTTAAGGATAGTGCACGATACACGTCTGTTAGTTTCTATCAAAATTAGGAGATGTAGAGCCGTATGCTATTAGCATTCCGAAATAAGGCTCGTAATATGTACTCTGCTCATGTACAACTTGAAGGAACAGGGCAGAAGACGAAGTTAAGACGACACTGCGTTATAGAGCTGATATCAATACACAGCTCATATTCAGCCCTTTTTGCCTCGATGGGTTATCAAAAGAAGTATAGTTGGACCTTTGAAAGTTTAAACAGAGAGTTGCAAGCCTCGATTCTCACGTATGACGAATTTGTCGATTGATTTCTTTTTAAAATCAAGTCCCAGACTGAGAATCTATCTTAACAACCACTCTTGTAATTCTTCACAGTGAGAACACTACCCACATCTGATTCAGTATGGAGACCTCCATTGCATTGCATTGCATTGCAAACGTAGCGGATCCGAGGCTGAAATCACACATACTAAGTTAAGGTAGGTGTTTCACTGGCTGCTGAAGGAGTCCACATCTGGAATCACACGACTTGCCACAGAAGGTCGACTCAGATTCTGCGTAAGTTGCCTTTAATTCTTGTTCCAAATTGGAGCTTGTGAACTTTCCAGTTTTCACATGCAGCCGCAGAACAAGAATCCCTGTTTCGAACCTGCTCTACGAATAATAAATCTGGCTGTACACTTGCAGGACTTTGTCCGAAGCCTATCACAAAGTTATATTCTAGACAATATACATTTCAGAACATTGAAGTGTAAAAGGACTCAAAATGATAAAGCTTTCGAAGGCAAGTCTCCTTTTGGTAGAAAGTACTACCAAAGGCCAGAAAAAAAGTAGATGCCACATTCCTCAAAAGTCTAGACAAAACAAAACACGGAACGATAGGAATCGTCCAAATAACAGTCGATTGTGATGAGATAGATACTTCATGGTCTCCTCTAGCCGTTACGTGACTTTGTATCCTCTTCTTTTGGCAAGTCCTCGAAGTATTGCAACAGTACTCTCGACCAGGAGGATGCTGTCGTCTTTTTGGTGCCGGTTCAGATCTAGATGCCCACGTCTACTTACAATGGGCATGGGACCGTAGTGGTGACGTGCAGTGTCTATACCGGGAGCACAATGCTTAATGTTGACTTTTAAGTTAACTTATACTTTTCACATCTCCAAAGCTTGACGTGTATGCGTGCCAATTCAAGGCTTCAAGTCTCGAATCTAGGATAGAGAAGGCAGCTTGAATCATCTTCTTGGACACTGACCAAAGCAGGTGTGGCCCACGTTCTAGAGCTACTCGAGACCGGGAGTTCAAGTATGCTGTCACTCGGATGTCTGTAGTGACTTCTTTCTTTGTATAAACAATGTCAATTGAGAGTTAATTCGAGATCTAGCAATTCCAGACGACATCAAGTATGATGACGTTCATGTGTCGGGACTCGAACTTTTTGTTTCATTATCCAGGCTTTTGAGTGTATTTGGGCATCATTCAGAAATGAGCTCCTTAGAAGGGCTTAAAGTGGGTTAATATTCCTTTGTCCGGACTACATCTTTGTGTCATTCTAGTTGTTATATGTGCAAATTTGCTTTACAATGTATTAAAATTTATAGTGATTATTCATGTATCCGGGACACTCGGAATCTGTAAGATCCAAAGCAATGTCTGGATGTAATACGAATGAGAATTGTATTACGAATAAGAATAATCCCACACGGTGGGCCCTGTGGAATTATTATTAACGTGGGTACAACTCCATATCTCATGTAAGGAGCTCATGGTTGCGATAGGACAGGAAAGTATGACATAGAGAACACGCATATCAAGTGACGATATATCTGACACTTCTTTGTCTTAAGTGTTTTATATTGCGGACTCATAGAAGATATAGAATTCAATATTCGTAATTCTGTTTTTAATTCAGAGCTCGTTTTACTCTTGACCATTGTTTATTCCCAACTATCAGGAATCGGGTGGCATTTGATTTCATGCTCAGTCTCCTTACATCTATGTACTTTATCTCAATATCCGGATGAAATCTAGCATGCGTCAGTCAGAAGTGTGAGGAGTGTATCGTATAGATCGCGCCATTTCGGGACCTGATAATCTGTTGATTTCAACTACGATCTATGAAACAGCAAGATTGATCTTATGGAGTCGATTTGCTGCATCAATCTGAAGACGTCAGAACACGTCAGCGAGCTCACATTGACCTTGAGATTTCAGCATAGTTTCTTAGATTCAGCTCTGACAGCGCAGCAACATGAAGCCTTTGACGAGGTATGTAAATTACTAACATCTTCGACCACCATCTGTGGATTTTCAAATCAGGTAGATGAGGTTGATCATAAGATGAGGTTTCTACGAGGATGCCTATTTCACCACACACGGTGCAGAGCTGCAGTTCTGCAACTTGAATTCACTTGTAATTTAGAATTTGTATCTCGCTTCGAATGCTTTGGCATCTATCTGCCAAATTTCTTTGACCTTTCAGCCTGAACAATTGTTTTGAATGTTCATGCTTATTCATTATATTCAAAAGCAAAATTTTTAAACCGCTAGATGGTCATCTTATTGGCCTAACTGGTGAGAAGATCAATTAGAACATCTGGGAGGTGTTACAGGTTCCGGGAGCCGGAGGGGAGTGGGGTCCAGAGAGAATAGCCATGGACTAGGAGGCTTGGTAAAAGCTACATGGCTCAAAACAAGTAACTCTCTCCTGCTTCTGCTGATTTCGTGTTATAGGTGACATTCGCCACCTATTCCTTTAATTGTCGGAAAAATTTTGCAACATCACGGTGTTTTTGATTATGTTGATGAATGAATTTTCACCTAGATAACAATGTCATTAATGTGAACGGGCTAACTCCGACTGCGAAATCAGTTCAGATGCGTATAGCACGAGAAAATTGTAGCTTTCATATGCCCGGAAACTGTAAGAGTCGGTTGATCAATAAATTTGAAATGCATATGGAGCACAAAACAAGATTCATCAATAATATTAAGATCAGAGCGTCAAGAAGGAAGTAATAGTAACATGAAGAAAGATGAAGAAAGATGTGGAAAATTTTGTTGCAATCTTGTGGGGGAAGAAGTTATAAGCGGTTTCGGACTACTAGCTATAATTCCAAGAATTTTTGGAAGCAATGGGCAGTCTAAAACCTCTTAGTAAAGCAATGCCAATGACATCTATAAAAAACTTGATTTTTTCTGGAAAAACCCATTTCGAATTCAACACTTGTTGAATTCGCGTACATACTTCCAAGGAAGAACGATCATGAGTGAGAGGAGTCCTGCAAACTTCAGTAATAGATTATGAAGTGGATTTTTGCTAGTCTCAATAAGAAGAAGTGCCAAATTTTGCACTCAAGAATAATATTTGAAAAGAACTTTTGCTCCACGAAGTCATTTTGAATCGCGTCTGTAAGCTAAATATTAGCTATATATTTTGATGTTTTACGTCTTTCTTATGTCTGTAAATGGTTAACTACAATGGTTGTGAATGCATTTGAAAACTTCAAAGATATTCTATTCATTACTTTAACTATGTTTAAATATCGTGGAGATATTAAGAATCAAATTTCTTGTATCTAACAAAAATATAAAAGACTCTGAATTGCATATAAGATTTTGGTACTTTTTAACGGGGTCAAATATATTTGGGATTTTTTATAATAAAATCTGACATAATGAGAGAACAAGTACTACATAGGATATTTATGGGAGTAAGCGTGATCATTGTTGAATCGCTAATATAATCTGAAAGGATTTGCATTAGATTGGTCGAGAGGGTTGTATGATACCTGTGAAGTTTTCGGGGTATTCGCCTGCAACCCAGCATTATATGAGCTTCACCAGTAAGAATTCACAAGGTTTTTCCTCGATTTCGTGTTCTGATAGAGGAATCTATTCATCCGTTAAGAACCTTGGAGTGTCACTCAATCTTATATAACAATTGCGTATTCTGAGGGTGATTTTTGTTTGACAAAGTAAAGTGATTTATTTAGATGCTACCCATTCTCAAGGCTCATCGGAATGTGAATCTACACACTTTGGAAAAGGATTAAAAACTCACACGTTCGCAAGAAGGAATTTGATAGCACATTATCTAAGTAGCAAACTATCAATTCTCTATATTCGGCGATCTTTTGTGTAACTGGCCTGTGACCAATCTCATAAGAACTTTGAAGCTATGATCAGCTCAATCAACATGGAGGACTACGAATGAAGTTGAGTATTGCAGCAAGTAGCAAGTAGCTTCAAAGAAAATAATTGCTCCGGTAACAAATATATTCTTCCAAGTCACCTCACCGCAGGATACGAAGAGGTTTATCCGTCAACGATCTAATAAAAAATGGCTTGTCCATTTTCACACTCCTCAAAAACCTCTACGTCCACATGTTGCTGCCAACATCATCACCTAAAGTTATCCCTTTTTGCAAACTCATAGACAATGAATTGTTAGGAAAACACATTTACCGTGGCAAAATTTTGACATCAGATAGCGTAAAACACTAAGTTCAGGAATAATCTCAAGTTCCAAGTACGGATCTTCTGGAAGAAACTGCCAAATTGGCACAAGTCCAACTCACATTTGGTCAAAATTACATGCAGTTTGAGACACCATTTGTCATCATGCTTTATATTCTTCAAGGGGACCATTACCCAAACTAAACGTTATTCCTGACAGCCTAATGACCTCGTGTGCTAGAATTCGTTAGCAGCAGTAGCTCTACAAAGACAGGGCTTGTGTGTACGTTTACGTACTTTTAGAGTTCCTTTCATGCGTCACAAGAACTTGTCTAGCAAGGTCTGCTTGGACAGTTTGAGAAGCACGTCTGCGTGTCTACAAACAAATGTAAGCATGACATGAGACTTTGGTAATCTTTGGTATGTATGAGGTGTGTCCAACAACTGGAAGGTAGAATTAACTAGCAGAGCATCGTCAATTTACCCAAATTGACGACGGACAACTTTCCTTCAACAGCTTAAACCTGAAACCCACCGGCTGGTTCATGCTAATCACGAGTAGCAGATGTTCAGGATGTAACAGGATAGTAACCGAAGTGCAAATTTTGCCACAAGACTTTCGTGAGTTTTTTGAAAAGTACGGCGTCATCTTGGCGATGCGCCAGGGAGATGTCTCTGAATCCAGGTCGTATTCTATTCTAAGTTACAGAAATCTGAACTTGAAGAGATAGATTGAATACCGCAAACACATACACAATAATTCAGTAAACTAGACTTAAGACAACTTATTCATGAAGACATGACGTTTGATTCATATTTTCAGACAACAGTTTAAGCCCCTTTTCTGTAAGGAATCTAGGAACTTTTTGATTTTTGACATGATTGATGTAATTGGAACGAGTGTATGCTAAATAGTTGCATACCGTGCACAAACAGTTTTTTTTACTTCCTAGGCTGCGGTATTGAGCTGCGGTGCTTTGGCTACTAACGAACTTTCCAATGCAAGTTTGCTGTCCTGCTGTCCATGCATTTCTGGTTTTTCTTGACTGAAGATGAGCGTCTCTCTGAGCATGTCAAGTACAGTACGCCAATGTCAGACAGACCTACATTCTCGCAAAGAACTAGTGATATAGATTCATCACCACGCAATTCACACTGGCAACTCTTCCAGATATAGAGAGAAATCCACACTTTGAAAAGATGCAGTAATCGTGATACACTTGCCTCTGTTGTCACAATGTCTTTTTACTTTTGCCAAGGACCTCAAACAACATTATCGTCTAACTTGAAGCACTCATAGTACAATTATATGTTATGAAGAGTTTAAATTGAATTTTCTCTGGAAAGGAATTTTTACTTCCCAGTGAAAGTCCGAAATCACGCAGCCACTTGTTATAATTCAATATTAGATTAAATTAAAATTTTAAAATTACCAGCGAATGCAAAATAAAGAGATCAGTCTACCTACGGAGTTGATGAGCAGAGCGAGCCAATGCTACATGATCTTCGTGAGGACTTTGCAGCTGGCAATACTGCCACTGAAACGAAGTGAGAGCGCACGAGGTCAGATAATAACCAACTCAAACACTCCTAGATCCACCTCAGATGGTGCAAGCAACACGATCATGGGCACCACCGGCAATACTGGCTTAAGTTCCTTGCTTGCTTCTGGGACGCGGGCATTGATCTTGGGGATGGTCTCCGTATATGCCGATACGTTCAAAGTACCGGTAGCTACTCAATACGAGCCCATGTCACGCACAATTGGAACGATAATGCTTACGGTGTTCAGGTCACAGTCGCTGCCACTGATGGCAGAGTCAAGGAGATAGTCTTTGACAACCAATCCGGCAGAACTACTGTGATTTGTTTGGATGATTCCTGCAGGAACAATTGCAGTACCCGTGAATGGGGACGATGTGAACTAGATTATCGACGAAGGCAGAAAGAAGCTGCAGACTTTCATCAAGAGTCGGCGGTGGCAGAAAACTATCAGGTTGCTCAACTGAGGTTGCTGAACTGGGGCCATTATCGGTGGAGTTGTTGTGGGTGCTGTAGTCGGTTACGCTGGTAGTGAAGTGAGTTGCTTAGCGTTGTATCCGACTATAGTTGGTAATTGTCGTCGCTCTCACTGCCGGTATAAGCACTGGATGTGACGGCTGCTTTCCAGGCGATGCAATGGTGCAGGTTCCGGGAGGACTTCTAGTGCCCATGAAGAAGAAGTTAGTTGTGGCTGTTTAGGAGGCTGTATGGAGAAGGAGCAATAATGCAGTGGTATATGAAGACGTGTATGCCTTTGGACACAAGAAAGCTACAGCTGTGGTTGTTTAGTGATGCTCACCGTGGAAAATAAATCTCTTACCACACCTGAACTCAACTCATCTGCTTCACCAGTAAGCAGAGAGTGGAACGTACAGCTCTTCACTTCATTCCTACTATTCTAACAATTCAAGAGAGCACCAAGCGCGCACAAGATATTCAAACGTATTTCTGAATGGTATTTACAATCCTCTGAACTTGAGTGGCGCCATAATAGTCAGAATCGCGCACCGCGAATGGTTCCTCAAATCATATCTTTGATGCATTCAGAATGAGCTCTGCGCTTCCAGTTGCTTATCTACTAGCACTTTCACCAATTCGCTTCTTATATCGCATACAGGGAAAACACTTGTATGCAGCTCTCTGCAATTTGTTGGGCAAGTTTCTGAACTTGGGAAGATTATGTACCGAATAATCGCGTCAGTGAAAATGCGAAGTCTGTTCAAGGCAAGAATAGTACCAATAAGTCCAGATCGTTCGACACTATTCTTGGACAACACAAACATTAACCTTGTAAACATGTAAAAATTCGCCCTCGTTTTTTTAGAATAAATGTCAACAACATTCACAATCTATATGCAAAATTTCGGAATTGTCTTAGCGGATGTCACCTATGGAGCACGCATGCGGTCATTGCAAATAAGCACCAACATAGGAAATAAGTCGAAGTCGCTCAATGCTTTTGATTGATGCACGAAAAGTCAGTTTGATGCAAGAACAGGACTTCTCATGGGCTGGTTTCGTTTCATGCACAATACAGATAATACCTCTACATGTCAGGCATGATGTAGAGAACAAGGTTTCGGTCTCAAAAGTACGAAGTTTTAAACCCTCCACAGCCTCACCTCTGGTTAGTAGCGGAGCTCTTATCTCCTGTTATTATAATCACAGGCAGGGCTACTTCATTTGCAACCATATCAAGTATGTTTAAAGTTGACCACTGAATATACAAACTAGTTGACGTTGAGTGGGCCTACACTTCGATCTGAATTCATCGTTCATAATCTGCTGCCAAAATATACTACACTACCAAGGCTCCTTCCAATGATCACACTTATCTTGCAGCTTCAGTGTCAAGGTGATAAACCCCAGGTCTCCGTCAAATAGCGTGCAAACCTGATGATACTTAGATTTCGAGGATCAGAGTCCATCTTAAGAGACATTATGTGCAGAACAATAGCCTCTGAATTGAGATCTATCATACGCAGTCCGACATCTGAATGCTGTTCGGTTTTCGAACTTGACATCAGAACAGGAATGCAACTTTGCAAAAGGCACAGCAGTCGAAAACCTCAAGCTGTTTTATAATGGTCTTTTCCGAAAGAGGAATCTTTGAGTTTTCAACGGAATGTTTTTGGGAATTTCTTCATCTTGATCGCTACCACAAGCACCCCACAATCAACGAGTGGTGAAGGGAAAATCGAATCCCGAGAGATTATGGAAAGAAGAAATATGAAGAGATGCTGCATTCAAATTAGGTTAAAAGCCTCATACATGTTGAAGGCAAAAGAATTTGGAATATCACTGACCGGGTTACACAGTGAGATAATACATTTCTCTCTGTGTCAAGATACCATCCCAATGCAACCCATGTCGAGCAATGATGACTCATTAGAGGTTAAGATAAAGTGCTAGTGTTAAGTAGCACATGAAATACATTTATTCGTTCCAAACAGATCCAGAAATGGAATCTAGTCGGATTTGAAAAACGCCCAGTGCTTGAAAAAAGATACATTCTTGTGAATGTGTTGGTACTCTCATATGCTTTGCATTGCATGCCAAGAAATCAAAAGGTCTTCGGTAATAAAAAAAATTGACTGGAAAGTGGTTAGTGACAAAGTTTAAACAATGCACAGCCCGTACCAAAGAGGGCATTCAGAGGTGTACTTTACTGAAAATTCTGTTCAGAAAAGCAAAGAATATCGTAAACGTGATCTCCTTCATGACAGCCTTGTGACTTCTTGGTTAGGACTCAACAATTCCAGGACTTGCATTACAAAACTGTATAGTTAAAAAGGCCACATGAATATGAAAAACAATAGATACTATCTATTGTTTTTCGATGGAGTCTGTCTATTAGATAGACTCCATCGACCCGAACAAGGTACAAGGAAACGATAGTAATGATAGAGCATATGCTATATTAGAAAATATATTGCATCATTTAATGTGTATTTCACGTTTATGGATAGCGCTGAAAAGAGCTCTCTATAAAAAAGTGGAAAATGCAATATTTTTTAAAATAAATTACACATTACACTAGAGAAAGCGATACTTATCAGATGATATAATGGTGTGATATAGAAAACGCAAAATTTTTTTATTTTTTTTTTAAACTTTACAGTGAGCACGATATGTTTGTTTGGCACCCTCTTGTAGCAACATGTTGTTACTTCTGTTGGGGACATCGTAGAAGTAGACAATCTTCTAGCTTACGATAGAATTAGAAAGAGTTATTGTGTATTGCCTTGATTTAAAAGAATTGACTTCGAGTGAAGTTCATGGAACGTTTTTGTGAGATTAATATTGGTTTGGTTTGGTTTGAACACGTTCTCTTTTTGCTTTTAAATTTTCGTCAACTTTTTTCTTTGCAGAAAAAATTGTATTCAAACCATGAAAATAAATCTCAAATCCTCCGCACACGCACAACATGATCTGCAAACACTTGTGCACTCTACCACTTCATGTTCCTTCCGGGCTACAAAAAAGATTTAAATTAATTGTTAGTCCAATCAACTTCATCAATATTAACTCTGAATATCACATTTCCGGTAATTGCAACCTTTCAAGTCTCTCTATTCATATAACATTTAGTATTGCCTCTATTGTCAACAGCAGAGTCCTGTAGAGATGATGTTCGAACAAAAACTTAACCTCTATTAAACAACCAGATTTTTAAGTGAAATTTTTTCAAAATATCTGAAGTGACTTGAAAATTGTAAAACCTCCTTTCGCTCTTTTCACTAATTCACATCTTCGTTTTCTGAGCTTAATAAAATTGGTCATAATAAGCAGAAAAGATTTCAGAGCGTTGGAGTTTTCGGAGTCAAAATTGGTCAGATGCTGTTAAATCTCGGGGTTGATTGACACCACAAGGTCTCGTACTTTGGGGACAAATTTGCAACACTTAAAGTGAAGAATAATATGCAGTAGAAGAATATGATCTCTTTCATAAGCCCGACAGTAATAAGACTGAATTGACTATACACACCAAAGGATCCAAATCTCCGTAGTTTTGTTGCGATTTTTATTTCGCTAGGCACGAGTTCATTTTAGTTTCATTCCAAGACTCTTAAATCGTTTGAACCTTCAATCTGTGCTTCCAACTTTTCAAATATGTTTAAAGCTGACAATTCCTCATCGCAAAGTCCTCCGAATGCATCGCCTAAAATCTGTGTCGAGCACGGTTGATGCTTCTCTTCGAGATCTAATGTTCTATCCATGTTAGTGTGTGTCTGCCCCGTTACAGCGGACCTACCGTATTCTCCATCAAGCATGGTTATAAAGACCTCCAAATATTAGGAGATGAAGTTCAGATTTCATGTTTTGTAGTTCAATAGGGAGCTTCCCTCTGTCAACCAGAAATATGTACACAACGCAGCTCGTTCAATCTGCCTGAGTTGAACAGATACCAGTCTGACGATTACTCAAGAGCTCTCCTGGAAGACTAATTTGTTCATAACCCTGCTCGGGGTCTAGGTACAATGCGTGTGCAAAAATTCTTGTAATCCGAGTTGGTGACGGCGATAATAGTTTGTGCATTGCCATGGATTTCAATATGCTGATCAGACTCAATTTCAAAATTCGAGTCAACATGCGACATTGCCTTAGTGCGATCAAGAAAAGAAATGTTCTTTTAAGCATATATCTGATGGAGCAGATGAGAATAATAAAGTATGTAAAGAAGTGAAATATCCGCGCTTAACCGTCTACGCTGAAATGTAACTTTCTCGCGTAGTTGGAGGCTCGATATTTCTAACTGGCCGTGGTTGTTCTGTCGTATAAGACAAGCAACTGCTAAACATGACCTTCAATGCACTATACGATCTTGTGATTCTAAACCCATGCGGAATTTTGGTATACCCAAGATGGGAACCATATGGTATTTCAAGATTTATATTCTATTGGACAACAAAGAAGTTGCCAGGAAAATTTGAATGCTTCCCAACTTCATGAAACTTTTGCCCCTCTTCTCTTTCATGAAACTCGGTCGCCTTACTCGAGTTTGTGTTCTCGCAGCAAATGAATCCAGTTGACGTCAGGTAGATCTAGAGTATTGGTGCACTTCCTCCTCCGTCTTTCCAACCAAGTTCTCTAGCTCGACCTTCCCATAAGCTACTGCGTTCTTGTTCACGTTTGAGAGCACCTGTCACCGTTACCCGAGCATACTCAGTCGTTACCATTCCCTCCACGCACTTTCCTATCTCCTTTCGAAATTTAGCTGCCATTGTCCTCACTTCCTCGAGCGCTCTTTGTGATGTCATATCAGCATCTTGGGCTTTCGATTCCTGGAGCCTCAATGCGTCCCACAAAATTTTGTATCCGCGCATCATGGCTTCTCTGCCAGTCTCCGAATAGTTGACGTCCTTCTCACAGTCGGGCACTATGATCTGCGTCAATTCCGCAAAAGCCTTGTCTTGTGCTTCGCCCAATTGGAGACAGTCGCACTCGCACGATAGGCATGAGTCGAATCCCCTTCTGAGAGCGTCGTTGGTCATGTAATTGAACACATGCCGAACCGCGACGAGAATAACCAACCCTAGGACGAGCACCCCAGTCAGCCATCCCCTTCTGGAGCTGCCTCGAACTCTTTGACGAAGACCTGCCATCGTTCCCGGGCTTCTTCCACGAGGTTTCCTCTCTCACGATCGGAAGCTCTCGATCAGACTCCACGATGCTTGCAGATCGATCCGCCGCTCTACTCACCGACCCAGGAGCTTTACTCACTCGGTCCCCACTCCCCCACAGCCAAATGGCTAAATACTCCAAGCCGCCGCCGCTGCTCCCGTCAACCCCTAGAACGATTCAAACACTCTTCACCTCCTCTCAACTCGTCGATGATCGCCTTTGCCTCGATGCCGTGTGGACTCTCGAAGCTCACGCAGCAGCTCTCCAAACTGTGACTCGAACTTCCGAGCTCGAGCAGTTCATGGCCCTTCATCGCATCGAGCTTCTCACATTCGCACCAAGCCTAACGGGCCTCGGATTCGAACCTTCGAATTCGAAGTACCTCGGCGCCCATCGCCGTCTCCTGCAACGGTACAGTCGAGATCCAAACCACTAGAAGATGTATCCGGTCGATGTGCTACGGCTCTATTTGGTCTTTTTTCCCGGCGACTTAATATTCAAAGAGGGAATCGATGATCGCAATTACTCCTCCGGAGCTCTCGTACACGTGCATGTCTATACGGCTTATTCTTCACCAGAGATCGCTCACTTAGAAGTATAATGCACCGTGAAGACTTAATTCGGGTGGTAAGAATAGATATAGATGACGATTGAGTGCTGTGAATACGAGGCGTACAGATATATACGGATACTGTACGTATAGACTTCGGTTCCCCTCGCTTCAGTGGAACTCGACGTACTCCCTCGTGCCGCCGAACTTGAGGAACTTATTCCTCATAGCCCACGAGGCATCGAAGTGGGCTGTTGCATTCGGTCTCAGGTGTTTGCAGGGTTGCACCATTCGTTTCATGCATTATATCGCTCGGACAGCAAGATTTTCAACCCAGTTCAGACCTCAGTGAACGCGAGGGTGAACATGGTTAGCGGGAGTGAGGAGGAGCAGGGTTATTTTCGAGTAAGTAACGCGGAGATCATAAGAAATGTCAAACAAATTTGTCGAATTACATCCTCGTAGTGCGAATATCCTCCCTCCCCTTCACGTCCCGGTGTCCTACTGCGATCAATGTTCTTCACCAGCATCGCTATGCTGACCAGTTTTAGTAAGTCACGTGTGGGATCTATTGTTATTGATCGGTTCTGAATCCGGCGGTCATGGCCAGTTTGCACTTCAGAAGCGCATTTTATATTTATATTATCAGGCCAAAAATTGGCGTTGCCATTAATGGTCACTGAGGTCTGAACAAGAACTTGTGAAATGAGCGGGAATCATCACACACACATACAGTACTACAATTCAGGTTGAGACACCCCCAAATAACATTATCGAGAGACTGGATTTAATGTAAAGCTGACGAGGATCGCGTGTGCTTTGAGCGGAAGAGTCAGTAGCCGCAGTGCAATGATAATGTTGTTTCAGATGACCGCTTTGACCGCTTTGTTATGAGGCCTCATTACATACAAGCGAAGACTTTCTCATGATCTCCTGGTTGTGAGCAGGGTCTGAGTCATAGTAGCATGAATTCATAATGTTCTTTCGTTGAATTGATTCGATTTTGACTTGTGATTTTCTTATGAAGCTGATTTCTTAGAGACAGTGGACCATGTGGGAGTATGTGAGGACCAAAATCAGTAAAGGTGGCGAGGTTAACGGTGAGAGATGGAGAACCTTTGTGCAAGATCGGTTTTTTTAATTGGCCTTTATAATGTCTGGCTATTGTTGTCCACTATTTTTCCTCTAAATTCCGAAGGTAGATCACTGAATTTTATAATGGAGTTGAAACTGGAGTACTACACTCAAGCGTCGTATACGATCAATATTGACAGCAAAACAAGGTACTGTTCCATACATAGGCAATGAGATTCCTCGATTGAACCTCCCATGTTATTCCCTATTACTGAGTCCGATGAATACAGATATGATGCTTTGTAAATCTGAACCTATTCTCGTACAATAGTCATCTTCATGCGATAGAGAGACAGTTGAAGAGTTGAGACAGACTTGAATGCAACAGTTTAAATAAAAAATTCCGATACCTTCTTCCTTCTTATCCCTTATAATGGTTCGCAATATCCACTACACAGAAGAATGCAACCTTGTAAGTGGTTTGAAACTTTGTGGTAAATGGGAAGTACTGCAGTGAGTTTAAATCTGAGAAAAATATGTGAATAATCTTCTCGCAATATACTTGTAGAAATAGTAAGTATACAAGAAAAGGACATTTAAGAATATAATCTGGCTCTTTCACAATGACTGTGAATGAATCATTTTCTCATAAATTCAGTCATTGTGAAAGAGCCATATAACTGTTGTCATCGGTGGTCCCCTTAGACAGTCTACACTCTACATGGTCCACTGTTGACCTTGTTTGAACTAGTTCTGTGTCCTGGGAGTGCTTATTTTGTGCTAAGTTCCCGAAGGTAATTAACTTGCATCATATGTATCTTCTGCTCAAATGGACACCTTGTAAGGTTCTTTTATTTGCCAATGGGCAATTAGAATATACAGTGTTACACACAAAAAGGCAACAAGATTGTATCAGGGTGGGGTGTAGTTATCCTGTAAATAAGTGAAATCTTACAGTCGTTATCTCTCACTCGTCAAGATCATTCTCGATATCAAGTGGGTGAAGTATTCTAAGCTTCGGGCGGACACTGGAAGACGGACGTAGTAATCTTGAAATTAGCAACATTGTTGAAGAGAGTTACAGCATTTAAAGACTCGTCTTACGAGTTTTGGCAAGAAGGTGTGATGAGATTGAAAGGAATTTCTGATCTGGGATTGAGCTGAGATTGCATGGACACGGAAGGCTTGTCAATATCAACAAGATCAGTTTCTGTGACAATTTTGGCAGTCATGGTTAGGGAAAGGTATTTATTCCGCGAAGCATTCGTTTGTTAAGTCTTCATTAACTCTTTCCGCCGAGAGATTATTGGCTTACAGTAAATCGATTGACTCGGTGCAATCCACGTGACGGTCGTTCATCGATGTCCGCATGACGCATGTTCTTTCTAGCTCATTACTTTTTATCCATTGTTAATTAATTTACCAGATCATGCATTGATATGAAGAATATAAAGTTCCGATCACATCTCAAGTTACCAAGCTCTTTGCCAATATTCGTCGAATAATTAGAGAACTTGGCAATATATCGGCAAAAACAAAAATTCTCTTGAAGATAATAGGTTCGAACCAGTACAGCACCAATCTTTAGCAGAGACGCTTGATACGGCGGTCAACTTAAGTCAGAAAACATAATAGTAAGTAGGTGTAAGTCCACACATTGAGGCATGTTTTAGGACAAGAATTTCTATTCTTGTCCTAGAAGAAGTCTTAGAGCAATGTAAACGAAGTGTGTCCTTGCTGCGGACAGAGTCCAGTGACTGCCACACAAACACATCCGCAAATGATTTTGAAGCGGACCGTACCTAAACAGCTCAAGATCAGTGTTTAACTCGTATTGCAAAGTGTATATTCACGACACTTCCAGTTACGTCTTTAAGCCCAATTCACGCTCCCCCATGCCTTATACTACTCCAATGGCCTTGAAGAATGTTCTGACTCAACTTTCTGAAGAGCTGTATTTTGAGTACAGGCCAGGATCGCTGAACCCCAGTGCCCATGCCAGTGCTATCAGAGTCTGCGTTGAGCTTTGATTTAATGTAGTCTAATATTGAAGTCATCCACTCTTTCAACGTAGAGAGAAATCTGAAAAACAGCGTTGATCTCACCGAATGTAATCCGTCGGTAGAACTGGCTTTGAAACCCTTCTCGCAGCTTTTGGAAGACTCCAATGGACGTCAACAATAGATTTCATTAGCTTTACCCAGATTGACTACGCTATTTTCGTGATGAAGCGGCATCACGTGTAGTGTCACGTTTGTAGTCACGGCCATGTGCTTGTTGCCCTTGAGAAGGGGAGGGACATCGGCTGAGAGAAAAACTTGTGAAAGTCAAACAGACCGTTAAGTACGGGCTTCTGTGTTCGTCTGGCTATGGGCAAAGTCGACGAAAAAGTAGTCCAGCAGTTTTGAACTGAGTGTAGCTCTTTGTTTGAGGTTGAGCTCGAGTATCCAAACTCGTATTTTGCACAGTCTCTGAACCTCTCTGTTCAAGTCTATAATCTTTTTAGAAGTTGCTGTAATGATATGTATGCTACGTATATACCGTGTTGATTTTCTTCCTATTCTACGCATAAAATTGAGAAGTTGATAATCCCGAGATAAACAGTATTAGCAGTGAGCATTCAACGTCGTTTTATCAGGTGGAATCTGGACTAAGATGGGTGGTCATGCAAATTGTCCTGTTGACTTCGGTTTCCTCCTTATATAAGTATTATGTAATTATTCACAATAGTTGTAACTGCTTGTGTGGTGTGCGGATGCGGCTATGAAAAATCCAGAGCTCGTAGACACTTCTGACTCTGAGACCTAAACTGCTTTTGTTCGTTGTCTTTACCTGTAATGACTTCACTGGTGCGCTAAGCGAATTTCGATACAAGAAATGAATGCACACATGCGTTTTCGACAATCTCGAGATTGTGTACCAGATGATGTTGAGGATGATTGCATAGTGTAGAAAATATACCCTTCAGACATGCCTTCGACACTATTCTGCACGGGCATGATACTGTTATCAAAACACAGATAGTTATTCTTCAACCTCGTCCCAAACAAGAATCATTTTCTGGCCTAGTTTCGTGTTAAAGTTCCACAGTGACGCATTATATCGCTAAATAGGACCATCCTCCTCCAACAGGTTCTCGCTCCCCATAAATTCTCGTAGGAAAGGACCGAGCCAAAACTGCTCTAGGATCTCAGACGCAGAATTATATGGAATATGGTGCTGACAATAAAGTGTATTCATCTACTTGGTCTCGCACCCAGAGATAGAGACTGAAACAGAGAGAGCAGGACATTCCTCCGTGTGTTGAACTTTCAGCATAGGCCAGAGACGAGTACCGCTGATGCAAATGGACGACAATGCGAACGAGCAGAGCTCAAATCACGAAGTACGTAAGAGGCTCCCTGCGAGCATGCAAAGGGGTTCGAGATTGAGCCCGAGTGAACACGCCAAGTTCCTCAATGCATCGGACCAGTGACAGGTCACCGTCTAACCATGAGCACAGCAATGACACAGTGATACTCTGAAGCAGACGTATATTACAGAGCGTTGCAGACGGCAACGCTTTGACCATGGAATTGGCCTTGCGAGGATACAGTTTGATACCAGTAACCGTCTGGATTCCGGACAAATCTAAAACTGTACAATCTTTCTGTCGTGGCAAATTGTCTCCACTTAGAGGTACCCCTGTTCACGGAGAAAATATGGTTGGATCTCTAGCTCTGAAGAACGACATGCAAAGAGGAGGATCTACTTTGGCAAAATTGAGAACAGCTGTTGGAATCGTCCACAGACCATCCCCGCAGATCAATCCCGAGGCAACTGCAGCGGAAAACGTGTCGGCCTTCTTTCGGTTCGATCTTTCCCAGATGAAATTTATGCAAGTTCCGATGAACATGTCGATGGCGAAGTACGCTCCGATGTAGAAAGGAATAGCCATGGCCATTGGAATGGGGATAAATCTGGAGTACTTCTTAGGCACCTGATCGCGGATGAGATTTACCACGATCGCGAAAGCGAACCATGCAGCACATAACTGCAAACAATGACTCGGGAGCGCTCCGAAACCTTCTACTCCGATCAACGCCATCGTTCTGTATATGACTGCAGAAGGAGCCTTGTAAATGCCATCTTGGTTTCCGATGTCGAATGCGGTCCAGTACAACCAGAATGTGGCAGGTGCAATTATGCAGCCCATAACTCCTCCAATAAGCTGGGCCACAAACATGGATCTCGGTGATGAGAGAGTCAAGTAACCAGTCTTGAAGTCCTGCATCAAGTCAGAGGCCGTACTTACTATGGACATCATGACCCCACAAGCTGCAAGCCCTGCGAGGATTCCACCACCGCCCCCTCCAGCCCATGCTGCGAAGCCGAAGAGCAGAAGCTTCCCGTAATTACTAGCCAAGTTCCAGTCCGTGAGACCGCATCCATAAGCGTTGCAGAAGGCGAAGAGTGGTGCTATCATATATGCCACGAGCACGAAGTACCATTTAAGCGAGGGGAAAATATGTGGCACGACTATGATGGATATGATAGCCAAACCAGTGTATCCGACCACAGCCACCCAGAGAGGAATCGCGTCCTTCATGAAGTTCTCATTTCTACGCTTTTCATCGTAGAGAATAATATCGTCATCCTCCTTAGCTGTCCAGACGAAAATCAACACGTTAGCAAATGCCCTAACACAAAGGCCGCGTATTGAGTGTGAAATCAAAGGCTCCGACAAGCTGTACAGTAAGATTGACGAATTTTGGCAGATTTAAAGGTGATCAAGGCTGAAACAAATATGGAAAGCCTTGGGAAAGCAAAAACTGTACCTGATGTGGGCAGCGTCTGCTTGTTCTTGTGCTGAATGTATATACCTCTGAGGGATATGAAAGTCACTTTCGAAAAGTTGTACAACCCATCTCCGAGTATGATTGCAATGGAGATGAAAACCTTTGAATAACACATTCAATCCACATCACAAAATGTCAGCCAAACTTGACAAATCACTGAAGGTGAATTTGATGGGAAAGCTGAACGGACTACCAGGCAATCAATTTGAGGTGAGACAATGAAAGTGAGAAGGGTCGATTTCAGTACATGGGGATTCAGAACCGCAGTAAGAAATGAGATAACATCCATAAGTTTGTACTTCACTTCAAAGCGTGTTCCGAGAGTTGAAATTCTCCTCCGACTAAAACTATACTTGAGCTAGAATTCTAACCTTGCGCCAAAATTTTATGAGCCAAGGGACATTCTTAGGTAAAGAATTGTCAGACACAATCTCCCACAAAACTTGGCATCAACAGTGTGCAAGTAAGAAGTTTAGTCGCACCTTGTAGCCGAAAAGTCCTCTAAAATCTTGATTTGGTTTCAGACCGGCCGGATACCAAGTTCCTTCATTATTCTGTATCAGGGGCCACATTATGCCCCAAGATACAATAGCTCCAAACATCACGGAACAATTTACTATATGAGGACAGATCATTCCAGCTCCTATATAAGTTAGGTTGAAGTCGAAGTTGAATCTGAAAGACAGAGCCCACACATCAAGTCACCTTCATAAAGGTCCCATATACTGTCAAAATGAGCTGACTGTACCAGCACAACTTTGAATATTAGATGCAAATGAAATATGACAGGATTCTCTCAGATAGAGGAAAAAACAGGCAACGTTGAGCAACTTAAACATAATTGAGACAAAGTGTCCTCTGCAGTGTGTTGTCGTACCTGTTCTCGAGGGCTTTCAGCCCGAGACTTGGAAAACCGTCGAATCCACACGAGTTTCCTACGCCGCTGAAGAACCATTTAAAGAAGCTCCAAGCAAAACTGATAGTAAAGTACTTTCCAAGACACCTGACTTGCTTCCTGCGACGAAAGGAAAAAGAGATGAAAAGCGAGGTCTTGAATAAAACCAGTCAGAATCACTCTTGTTCCTGTCAAGTGTTTCACTGCTCCTAGGCATTTTCATAAGATTTCAAACTTGTTCATGAACGGTAACAATCAACATGAGTGTCATCAATCCCAGACACGTTTATAGTGGGAACAACCGAGATGGTCTATCGGAAAGAGATATCATCGAAGTTTGCCTGAACTACTCATGCGAAGAGAGCTTACTTGGCCACTTTTTCACCGGAAGGGGTATGAAAGCTGTTGATTAACACGGCTGTTGCAGTTCCGCTTGGATAAATAAGCTTGTAGTCAATGATCATGATCTGCAAACACGCGATCACATGTTACGACGCTTCTAGACGGGCAAACGGTAAACCATACTTACTTCAAAATAGGCCAAGTAGCAGCTGGAAATCTCTGTTGGATTCTTGAAGCTGGATTTCAACAAGTAAACATGGAGGCCAATTTCTGACTAGTTACATGGACAGAACTCATGTTCATACCTTACGAAGTGGAACTAGAACGAAGATACCCAGCAAGCTGACTGTGAAAATGAAAGCGTAAATCCAGCCCAAATCTGGATTCTTGATATCTTGTACTGTGTTTCCAGAATACTCAGCTCCTACTTGATTATAAGCAAAATCGGTCATACCCAAAAGGTAAGAACCGAATCCTCCTGATACATAGGAAAGGAAACCGTCAGTATTCTTCGTCGACGAATGTGTTGTGTGGGTTGAGTAACTTCTCTGCCGTTTCCCACTTCTCCTCGTTGTCAATCCTCAGTACAAATGCTTAGCCCACACATGCATGTAATTCGATGTTTTGTTGTAGCACCGACCATGCAGAGGGACCGACGGGTAGGTTCGGCTCTGGGCTCTGGGTTCATTCAATCATATTCACTCTAATAAAAAAATAAGTGGAGGAAATGATTACTCAGAGTTTGTGTGTGTGTGGGAAACGCACCGCTGAAAGAAAGTCCATAGCAGGACACCACGGTGGTCTGAATGACCGTATTCTCCTGCCTCGTGAAAGGCTTGGTGAAGATGCCCAACTTGTTCATAATCGTCACCCATGATTTGATGAGGAAGAAACCGAGCAGGCCAGCGGGTACATTTAGTGAAGGAATAACTCCTACTGTGAGACTCAGCCTGTGGGTGATGATACTGAAGACGACTCCAAGAATAACGGACACAACCATAGATCGAACAGTAATTTGATCCTTCCATGCTGGAACTGGCGTATCTGCGAATCCTGCTTCAGCTCCCTCGGCCTCAGGAAGATTCGCTAACGCCTCCTTAGAGCCATCCATGTTCTTGTCAGGTACAATTTTCCCATTGTGATGTTCGAAGGGCTCGCCGTCGTTCAATTCCAAATTCCCACGACGGGTGTCGTACACATCCGCCTCGACTGGATACGTAGCATGTTCACTCGCATCTCGCCTGGTCACTGGATGTCTGACATCCCTATCGCTTTCCATCTTGCTGACGTCCAGGACAGCCCTCTCACTGATGTTGCCTGAGAAAATCGCTCTCTCTCCCCTACGATCGCATTTGCAATATGCTTTCGTGCACTGGCCAACTATGCACCAGCGTCAGCTGAAGCTAAACTCCTCCTGGACGCAGCAGCGACCAGAACAGAGCTTCCCAGCTCACTTTCACGGCAAACACTGCCTCAGAGAAATCCCTCGACGCATAGAGTTGAGAGATACGGATGAACATGCAGCGGTGTGCAACACACTCTGCGCTCGGCAGATTGCTGTTGCTCAGATTATGTACTCTGCGGGCTGGCTGCAGCACAACGAAGAGATCTCGCTCACAGAATCAAGGCCAGCTCCGAGTCTACAGCGGTCGGGCTACGACACCTTCATCATCACTATCGTTGACATCTCCAATGACTCTAATCTGGTGTGCTCGCCGCAGTGAAGTCCCCACAGCCTCCCTCGCTTCCCGCCACCGTACCAACTCAGCATGTCCTCTGCCGGTGCTGCCGAGCGCCTGTCCCAAACGTGGACTCGAACTAAAATCGCAGACCCGAAGGATTGCTTCTCTGCCGACGAGCAATTCTGGCTCATTACAGAACGTGGCAGCTGGATCATCAGACCTCGAGAGTGGGAGTGGGAGGGAGTTCATAACAGCGTGGTGCTGCCAGATTTGGCGACGACGTTCACGACAGGTTGTGCCAATTCTCCAGACTTTGGAGAGTTCGGTAGCGGCGGACAGGGCGACTGCCAAATTAGAAGCGCAAATTTGGGAGGCTCTGAGAGGAAAGGCTCGTGTTGCGGAGGGCGGAGGGCGACTTTCCTGTCCGGTCAGGATTACCTCTGTCGGAGATACTGACAAAGGATTCGAACGGTCGAACACCGACGGCTGACGTGCGAGTGAATGCGGGCCCCGCCTTGACCGCTCGCCCGCTGGCAGACGACCCGTACTTCTCTCTCGAGTCCCTTGACCCTCGTCTCCTTATCGTATAAGGCGTGACCGCCTACTGTCCTTTTCCTGCCCCTTTACGGTGGGCAGAATATCATGGGGAATATCATATCTTCCCACTCTACCGTTAAGCTCGACACAGTAAATGGAAACCACAAGTGACCATTGGGACCCATCACCGCCCATCGGCCGGTCAGCCTCTCCTCCGTTGGACTACTAACAGTGTTACTCTTTCCCTCGCCTTCCTTCCATTTCACAACCGTATTTGGAGATTCCATTCGATCACTGAAATTTATGATTCATTATCATCTATCCTATAATCTGTAAAGATTACAGTAATCCTCGCAAACAACAATGCTTCAATTTTGTTATTTCTCGCTACACTTAATACAGCCATGCCAAACAATTGCTAATCCGAAGAGGAGGATCAACAGTAGCCAAGGAGAAAGGCCGATGTACGGAGCAAAGTGTTCAAAAATGGGCTTGAGAGCACGATCAAGATTGGATTTACACTTGTGAGAAATTTGAATCCTATCTGATGCCACATGTTACTGGAAAGAGCCTAGTATTAATGTTGGTCGCAATGTAAAGGATGATAGGAGGTCGAGATAAGTAAGGAAGTTTGTCATAAATGTGGGGGCAACCATCAATCTTGAGATCGCAGTATGCATTGACATGTGGTAGAGTACGGTGAAGGCTTTGGGGCTCTAAATATGAATATTTACATGAGAAGGTACAAGACTAGAATCGTAAGCCAGCATGTTGAGACATAAAAATGATTATAGAAGAGAAGAGGAAGGTATTTTTTGGTGAACGCAGAGATATAATGAGGGAGAAACTGGATAAGTTAAATTATTTACTAAATTGGTTAGTTATTTACGCAAATGGATACTTTAAAGTTTTTCATATACTTTCTAATCGTATTATTGGGAAAACACTATCGATTTAGTCCACAGATAACAACTTTTGCTATTTTGATTTTCTATAGCTAAGAATCTTTATAATCTAATCTTGAAAAAAAAATTGTATATATATGATATTTTTTAAAAATCATATTAAAATGTGATATACTATAGGATAAAACATATATTTTAAAAACATTTGATACTAAAGATAAAAAAAATTGTAAACAAATATCATGTCAAGAACTTTCATGGCCAAGCACTTCAGCAAAAATGGAAAAAATTAATTAGTCATGTGACAACGAAGTATTATTGTGAGCAATCATAGATTTATTACTTATAACAAATGGCATCTAGAAATAGATTTTTAGAAATCTTCATATGTTTTAATATTTCTAAATTTTGAATGTGAATAGCTGTATTCTTTTAAAATATGATATAGATGTTTTGATTTTTCTATATATATTTATTAACATATATGGTATGAATAATTCGTTTACCTTGTTTAATGTGACATGATCCTAGAAGATTTTTTTCCTTTGTACAGTATTAGGAAATTTTCCCATCTACCTTGATGAATGTAATGGTTTAGGCCATCTTTTCAATTGTCTTTAGCGAATCTAGCACTACCAATTCTTGTATATATTTTTCAAAGAAAACAGTGCAAGCTGGTGTATCTTGTCTCAGCCATACTTTCATTTTTTTCAATTAAATTTCACTAATTTTACGTCACTATCGTTCAACTTTGGCTTGATTCACTTATACGATTTTCATTCATCAAAAAGTCACATGTGATACTAGTCATAGTTATGTATTTTTTAAAATTATACAGAAGATTATTAATCATAATGTCAAATAAAAATTTGATATTTGTTGTGGCATGAGAAATTAAAACTTCAAAACAATTAAGGTAGATATATTTTGCACTCTAACATGAGTACGATGCAACTCAAGTTGGAGACTAATAATCTATAATAGACACATAAAAGATGTTCAAATGTTTTACACTTGAACAAATTTATTCGTGTTCCAAGATAACTACATAACTATGTCTTCATGATTATATATGTGACATGATAATCTATACTCCATGATAGAGGTCGACTCTTGACTCCACTTTGTTTCTCTAGCCAAAGAAATGTTTTCAGGCTATTAATATTGAATTGCTACATTCTACCATAATATTTAATTATTTTCCAATAAATTATATATATCACGTTATATGATTTTTGAAATTTAATTACTTGTTAGAGTGAGTTACACTTACTTATTTTGCACTCTAACATTTTTTTGCCGTTTTGGTTCCATTTGCAGCATTGCATTATGATCCTACGTGAGGCTCATTCCTAGAGTTTTCAGTAACTGCAACGTGCGTTCATAAACCTCTCCACACTTTCCACTTTGGCAGCAATGGGCCTCCCTAAGCAACTAATCTTGTGTTTCGTGTGATTCCTATGATGCTACTATAGTGTGTACATCATTTTATTGATATATCATAGGTGCTATATGCTATATCTTCCATTGTGGTACTATTGGGAGTGGTCCCATCTTATCCGTCTTGACTCATCCTTGACGGTTCTTCCGATCATTTCTCCTATAATACTTGGTGTCTTCGCTAAGATCATCTCCATGCAGCTGAAGAATCTTTTACTCTTCAAGTCCATGTATGGAGAATTAGAACTTGGATCGAGGCTGGCCTTTGGCTTGCTCTAGCTCTAAATCTAGTCGAGGAATAGTTTCTTGCAGAATTTTCGTGTTGTTGTTGACAGTCTCAAGTAGTTCCTTCACTCGCGAGGATCTCCGCTTCAACTCTTCTCTTTCCTGTCGTTTCTCTCTTTAAGAAACGACAAGAAGTTCTTTCCCTCAACGCTTTAATAAATGTCAAGTTTTTGTCCATTTCGGTATCCATATACTTTGGCGTCTTCATCATGTGTACTGTACTCTCGCTGAAGCTACTTCTGCACAGACAGCACGTTTAAGCTCCCAGATTTTCGCGTGCTTCACTAATCGCAGTTCAGTAAAGCTAGACAACACATGTTCTAACTTCTCCCCAAGTTCAGAGAGAGGTGTTTTCGGATTTTGATAGACATTAAAAATTTGAGCTCGTATTGTTTCTTTTCATGTGTCAGCAGCCTTACGGCCAAGAAGGTCTACCACTCCATGAAGCACCTTTTGGTGTCCAAAACCACATGATCCAAAAGTGCACATGCAGGTCTACAGGTTCTATCATCTTACTTTTCAAAAAGATTTTGGTGTTAGCCTCTCAATTGTAGTCCTTCAAATTACAGTCATGCAATATTCTCTACTTGACCTCTTAGTATTTGAGAATGAAAAAGAAAAGCCTAAACTCTTCGCCACAAAAGAATCTGATTTAAATAACCATTATGTCAAGAGCACATACGAGTGAGCTATGATATGACATTTTTCTGTATTGGTCTGTTCTCGAGCAATCAAGTTGCAATTATAACACACTTCTTTCACTAGCCAGACGACTATTTACTATCATAGGCCATTGTCTAGTCTTTATGATCCAGCATTGTTCCACCTGAAATGAAGTTGCGGATTTAATTTGCTAGCTCATTAGCTTCTAGGATGTGCAACATACAGTATACTGGCGAAGGGAAATGGTTATGACTTGGACATACAACGGTATTTGAGTCGACTACCATGAGCCAATTAAGAAAGGAAAACTGGCTTTAAATTACGACACTGGCTTCTTCCTGCGACAAAAGCCATAAAAACGATAACACTATGCTTCAAACTTTCGCTGTACCTGCTGCTGGCCAATTTGCTCCGCTGTCACAATTTGGTTTTTGTGAAGGAGAAGGGGACCGAACAATATAGCAATACAGTAGATGTTAACACATGGATGAAACCAAATGGTTGAAGGAGTTTGGTCCGTTACTTTTGCAAAGCATGAGCAAGATAGGTATAGAACGTGTAAGGAGCACTAAAAGAATAGTAAGTGAACTTTGATAGTCTTATTATGCAGATGGTAACATTCAGAATGTTAGAAGTTTAGACATGATCGCTCTCGTGGAAGTCTCCAACATTTAATTTGGCTGAGAGTTTCATAAAAGAAGAGGGAGAAGAACGCCTTGGAAAGTCACCCGTGACTGCGTCCCCCTTACCCATGAAACAATTCGTGGATATCCGTATGGAGTTATGAATAAGTGACCCTATTTTTTTTATCTTGAGAGTAGGCTAATTTTAGAATCAAATGTAGCCCTCACATATTTATTTTTCTATACCTGAAAGCCACTACAGTAGTTTATGGAATAAGCGGCTGTCAACATACGAGATTGCATCATGCACATAGATTCTAGGTGCACACTTTGTTCCCGGCAGTGCTGTTGATCATACAACAACACGTGCGTTGACCAAAGGACACGAAAATGATACTTGTTAATCATTTGGGTTGCAATAGTTACGAAGCACTCACATTGCTTAGGAGCGTTCCAGCGCATTGAACGCAACCCGAAAAGTGCAGAAGTATCCCATGAATCTGGGAAGAGTATTGCACTGTGGAAACGAAATCTGTAAACCTCGAACACCACTGTTTCTCAAAATCCCACAACACACTCAAGTTTATGATAACCACATATTACCCATGATTCATATCATGTCTGGGTTTGACTATTCCT